TAATTCAAGTACCCCTCAGCTGATCAATGGATCAACACATACTATGGAATATTACTCAGCCTTTAAGAAAAATGTGCCGAATGGAATAAGTGAATTATAGAAATGACAAGAATAGCTAAAATATATCAAAATCAATTGTTACTATTGGCTACCGTGGATGAGAGGGAGAGTAGAAATCTCATGAGAATACCAAACGTTTGTCTGTGATGATGGGAAAAGCCCAGGTAGCTTGGTGCATCAAGAATCATGCTGTTCACTAAGGAACAACAATTTCATAAAGTAATAGATAACATGAGAGAGTCTAGAGAACATTATGGTGAGTGAAGTAACTCAATCTTATCAGGACAAATACTGTATTTATTGTAAAAACAGAAGGATAACTGAGCAAGATGCTCATAAATGTTCATTTGGCAGAAGGTGAAAGGGAGATGGAGGCAGAAAAAGGCAGGGAGAGAAAAGACTAGGCTAGCAGAGACTAGAGGAGGGATAGGGGAGTGAAGGAATAGGAAAGATTCAATGGGGACTTGAAAAAACAGTGATAATTGGAATAGTTCAATGATTACAATAATATAAAATACAATGTGTATGATAGGTCATGTAACACACAACGTACATGTACAAAACACAATGTAAATGGAAAGACTGCGTAAAACACAATGTATCAAAAAAAAAAAAAAACAATGTATCCATTTCCAACCCTACTTCTGGAGAGGCTCCTCCAGTTATTTGGGATGTATCTTTTCTATTAATCTATCTTTTCTTTCAACCTCAAAACCAAAACAAAACACAAAACATACATGCAATGAAACACAACGTATATGAATTACTGTATGCAAACCAATAACAATATTATAAAGAAAAGAAGGAGTGCTGTTAACAGAAAGGACACTGGTTCAAATCTACTAGGTGCTCCACAAGCAAAAGTCTTCTCACATAAAGACTGACAGTATCAGAAACGTGACAGATGGTCATTATTAGTTGGAACTGGCAACAAGTTTATTTTGGTTTTTAAGTATACTATAGTTTGTCTAGGGCAACTGGTAACCCTAAACTGTACCTTAGGGGGAAAAAAATTAAAGTAGGTTAAAAATGGCAAATAAAATGATACATTTAATTAAAAAAAAAAGGAAATAGTGCAGGTGTTGGTTCTACTTAGGTATAAATAAACACCTCATGAAATTAGTTTTCTTGGTTCAAAGGTTTGTAGTAATGGTGGTAGTGGTGGGATTGTGGGCCAGTCAAAAGGCCTAGTATTATTTTAGGCATCTGCTCTTCCTCTTAGTTTAGTGAGCAGTACCTGAGCTCTTCCTCTTAGTTTAGTGAGCAGTACCTGAGCTCTTAAATGCTTGTGACTGTCCATCCTGGAGCAACAAAGAAATGAGATTCAAGAATGAGAAAAAGAAATGTTTGCAGGTTGAACCATTGAATGAGAAAAGGAAATGCTTTCTTGAGCTAACTGCTTCCTTGAGACAAGAATAAATTTATGATGCCCAGCTACTATGACCAAACATTCTGACCAGGACCTAATAGATGGATCTTCATGAAAAGGAGGGAAATTGTGGGATGAAACTTCAAATTCTGTGTGAAAACCAATCTTACTGGACACACTGAGAATGGAGAGACTGACTTTCCATCTATTGCCTGCAAACAACTTTGGAATCTTCAAGAGGAACCATGATGCCACAAAGTCATCTTTAAATGAAACAATGAAGCTCAATGATGATATCTGCTTTGAGCACTCCCCTCTATTGAAGAATCACCCATATGGGATGAAAATGAAAACAATAGTTCTAAAATACAAGAGAACTTTTTTTTCTAAATTCACATGCTAATGAAACAACAAAGGCAGAGATAGTGACAATGGTGAGAACTGTGATGTTATGTAACCTTTACCAAAGAACTACATGTGCACAACTTGTTAAATCAGTGTGAATGGTGTTTTATGTATTTTTATACACAGAAAAAAAATGCACTCAACTACAACTCAATTTTGTGTGTTCTGGTTAAAATAGCATTTAGCTGTACATAAAACTTGAAGTAGTAAGTCAAAGCAAATAATAAATGCCTTATAAAAATCTCTTCCTCAAAGTCTTCAGGAACTATTTCTGCTTCAGTAAGAATGGTGTGTGTGTGTGTGTATTCACTCATAATACTGTTTGTTGTTATGTGCTGTCGAGTCACTTGTGACTCATAGAGACCCTATGTACAACAGCCCTGAAATCTCTATTCTGTCAACTTTACTGTCTCTGACACATCTACCCTCATCACTCAGTCACTGTATCAATCCATCTCATCGATGGTCTGTCTTCCTCTCTTTCTGTCCCTCCACCCTTCGAAGCATGATGTCCCTCTTCAAGGACAGGTCCCTTCTTGCAATATGCCCAAAGTATGTCAGACAAAGCCTCAGAATCCTTGCCTCCAAGGAGCAGTCTGGTTTAACCCTCTCCAGAATGAACCTGTTTGTTCTTCACCACTCTTCTCCAGCACCACAGCTCAAAGGCATCAGTTCTCTATTATCACTAGTCATTGTCCAGCTTTCTGACACATAGCAAGCAATTGTGAAGACTATGGCCTGGATCAGGTGCATCTTAGTCTCCAGACTGACATCATTGTTCTTCAGTACTTTGGAGAGGTCTCTGACAGCAGACTTTCCTAATGCAATTAGGCTTTTAATTTCCTGGACACTGCATTTAGCTCTACATAAAACTTGAAAGTAAGTCAGTGCAATAAATGCCTTATAAAATCTCTTCTTCAAAGTCTTTAGGAACTATTGTTCCTGCTTCAGTAAGATAAAGAATGGTTAGTGTATTCACTCATGATATACAAAGTATGGACTGACTGTTACTATGTAGCCAACGGAGCTCTGGCATCCTAGTGCTAAGAGAAGCTGGGTTGGAATCCACCAGCTGATCCCTGAGAGAGGGATGGACATCTATCCTGTGATTGACTGCTTCAGAAAACCCCCTGGAGTGTCAGCTATGAGTTGGTTCCAACTCTACTGCACAGAACAACATTATGGCAGGCACAGCATTTGGTCCAATCCATTTGTGTGACTAATTCTTGGTTCTCCTATAAATTGCAGTCTCAATTTGCAAAGACATGGTTAAAACTCTGAAAGACTCATTGCTGTCAAGCGGCAACTTAATTTTCAGAGGCTGTAAAATTACACAGGAGAAGTCTGCCCATCTTTCTCCCCAGAAGCACAGGTGGCGTTCAACCTCCCCAGAGCCTTTGAGCCTCCTCAGAGCCTTTGAGTTCAGCAGCCCCAACTGCAATACCGCCATGGTTAAGGCATAGTTTATACTGTATGCCTGGCAATGAACATTATTAGCCTAGATTTTAGTGACAAGTTTACTGAGCTGTGTAATGATGAAACAATGAACACAATAACTTTACATTAGGTTAAACCTATTTTTCTCAGCCAGTTCATGCCACTAGTGTAGAATGATATGGCTCATTAAAATCTGTCACTGGGGAAATAATGTGTGTGGAGCATTTAAAACAGTGCCTGGCACTGCTATTTGTTATTTACATCCTATTTACACCTTTGTAGTGATGTGGACAGATATGTATATATATATATGTATATATATATGTATATATATGGTTATGGATGTTTACTGATAGTTGTGCACATGTTCTTAAAAGGCACATTAGCATAATGGTTATTTGTGACATACCCATGTAATGTAATATCACGGAAACTTCAAAAATTAGGCTCACAGTGCTGGCTTCAGCAGCACTTATACTAAAATTGGAACAATACAAAGATCAGCATGGCCCTGTGCAAGGATAACACACAAATCTGTGAAGCGTTCCCTATTTTTTTTTTTTATATCTATGTTCACAGAAAGGTTGGTGACAGGAAAAATGTTGTGTTGTCATTTGTTAAAGAACTGTAAATCTGGAGTAAAATATGTAAAAATAAATTTTTTAAAAATTTAAAAAAATCTGTCACTGGAGAGAAAAAAAGCAATCATTCTGTTGATAATGGTTTCTACAGGTGCATAAAACACAAAGCAAGCATGCTCCCCAAACTACAAAAAAAAAAAGGACCCTAAGCAATGTCAAGGCTAGAACACATTTGAAGGCCTTTCCATAAAGTGTCACAAAGACGAAAAACTTGACGGATTCACGAGCACACTATTTCCCCTCTGTTTATCTCGACATGAGCTTTCAGGCTTATTACTGCAGAGGCAACATCAAGAAGGCACAGACATGAGGAACAAAAGGGAAGGAGGGAAATGCATGGTAAGGAGATGCACTCCGAGCCGCATGTTCTAAGAGTTACTGCAAATTACCAAAAGATTCTATTTCGTCTAAAAAGTCAGCTGGGTCAGATCTGGCCACACCATGCACCACGCGCCAGGGGCATTGTTCCCTTTCTTGAAAAGTCCCAAACATCCTGCCCGCAGCCCTCTCCGACGCCGCTAAGCCAGCCCTTGGATTGTATCCCTGTGAGACCACGATTAAAAAGAAAGAAAGAACATCAACAAGTATTTTGGTGGGGCCTGCGGAGAACTTTTCACCCCCAGCCGCAGCCCACGATCCTCCCCCGGGAACCGCCAATGGCTCGCAGCCCGGGCGGCCGGGGGGCGGGCGGACACGCCCGGATGCGCAGCGGCGCAGG